GGGGAGACAATCAATACACCCTATTGGAAAGCACCTTTCCCTGAGGCCACTTAAGAGATTAAAAGTAACAGTTAGCCTCCAGGCAAAAGCACCTGCCCCACCTGTTGAAAAAACTTTTGCCACACCTGAGGTCAATTGCCTGGGGGCAATTCAAGTCAGAATCCTATTAGTCTGTAGACAGAGGTGGTCTCTGGAGGCTTTGAGTCTTTGCCTGATCCAATTAGTCAGAAATAGCCTTTAACACTGTCCTGCACTAGAGATTGAGAGGTGTAGAGGATCTACCTAAAACATAGTCACAAACCCAGACAAACAAAATGAGGAAATAAAGAAACAACCTCCAAATGAAAGAACTAGCAAATTCTCCAGAAGAAGAGATAAATGAAGCAGAGATAAGAAATTTATCTGAAACAGAGTTCTGATGTTAAAAATGCTAAACAGTATGAAAACTGATATAGTAGCTATGAAAAAAGAACAGTCTGAGATAAAGAATGACATAACACAAATAACACATTGGAAGGAATACGCAGCAGATTAGGGGAAGCTGAGGATCAAATCAGTAAATTAGAAGACAGAGATGAAAATACCACTCAAGTAGAGAAGCAAAAAGAAACAAATGAGTAAAAAACAGGAGGACAGCTTAAAGGAGCTTTGGGTCAATGTGCAACGTAACAATATTAGAATAGCAGGTGTGCCAGAAGAGGCAGAAAGGGAGAAAAGAATAGAGAAAGTGTTTGAAGAAATAATGATAGAAAACTTCCCTAACCTGGTAAAGGAAAAATCACACAAGTTTAGAAGGCACAGAGAACCCCAAACAAGAAGAACCCAAACAGACCCATGCCCAGACACATCATTATTAAAATGCCAAAAATTAAAGACAAAGAGAGAATCTTAAAGGCAGCAAGAGAAAAGAAAACTGTTACCTACAAAGGAGTTCCCATAAGGCTGACACCTGATTTCTCATCAGAAACTCTACAGGCCAGAAGGGAATGGCATGAAGTACTCAAGGTAATGGAAAGCAGGGATCTGAGACCAAGATTACTATATCTAGCAAGACTATCATTCAAAATAAAGGGCTTCCCAGACCAAAAAATTAAAAATAAATAAAAAGGCTAAAGGAGTTCATCACCACTAAGCCAGCATTACAATAAATGTTAAAGGGATTGCTGAGAAGAAGAAACAGAGAGAGAAACCTAGCCATACAGAATTAAAATGGCTATCAATAAGTACCTCTCAATAACAACCCTAAATGTAAATGGATTAAATGCTCCAATCAAAAGGTGTAGGGTAGCTGAATGGATACAAAAACATGACCCAACTATATGCTGTCTACAAGAGAATGATTACAGAACAAAAGACACACACAGGATGAAAGTGAAGGGATGGAATAACCCAGTCGGAGAAAGATAAATATCATATGTGGAATATAATGAACAACATAAACTGATGAACAAAAAATAGAGCCAGAAGGAAAAATATATATAATAGAATATAATAGAAGTAATCTTGTTATTTGCAGATTTTTAATATTTCCTACAACTTTTGTGATATCATACTATGTTAATATAGTTTTGGTAATATTATTATACTTAACATTCTCTTATTCTTGAAATATTAATGTTTATTTCATGTAACATTAATACATATAGATCATTTTTCTTGAATAATTGGTGTTTAGTGCATGTAATATTATCATATTTAAAATTGTTTTTCTTGAGATATTAATGTTTATTACATGTAACATTATTATATTTAAAATCATTTCTCTTGAAAAAAAAACTGAAAATAAAACCTCTCAGCAAAGTGGGATTAGAGGGATCATACCTCAACATAATAAAGGCCATATATGAAAAATCTATAGCCAACATCATACTCAATGGACAGAAACTAAAACCACTTCCCCTAGAACAGGAAAAAGACAGGGATGCCTGCTTTACTACTCTTATTCAACATAATGTTGAAAGTCCTAGCCCCAGCAATAAGACAAGAAGAAAACAAAAGCATCCAAACTGGAAAGGGGGAAGTAAAATTCTCATTATTTGCAGATGACATGATATTGTACGTAGAAAACCCCAAAGACCACCAAAAATCAACAAGATTTAATAAATGAATTTGGCAATGTAGCAGGATACAAAATTAACACCCAGAAATTCATGGCATTTTTACATATCAAAAATGAATTGTCAGAAAAATAAACTAAACAAACAATCCCATTTACTGTAGCAGCAAAAAAATTAAGATAGTTAGGAATAAACTTAACCAAGGAGATAAGACACTTGTATTTGGAAAACTACAAAAAAGAGATAGAGGAAGATATAAATAAGAGGAAGAACATACTGTGTTCTTGGATGGGTAGAATAAAAATTATTAAAGTTCCATACTACCCAAAGCAATCTATAGATTCAATGCAATCCCTATTAAAATACCAACGGCATATTTCACAGACCTAGAAATACTCCAAAAATTTATATGGAACCAAAAAAGACCCCAAATAGCCGCAGCAATCTTAAGAAAGAAGACCAAGTTGGAGGGATCACAGTACCAGATATCAAGTTATAATACAAAGCCACTGTAATAAAAACAGCATGGTACTGGGACAAGAACAGACATATAGATCAATGGAATAGAACAAAGCACCCAGAAATTGACCCAAACCATTATGCTCAATTAATATTTGACAAAGGAGGAATGAGTATACAATGGAGTCAAGACAGTCTCTTCAATAAATGTTATTGAGAAAATTGGACAGCTACATGCCAAAAAATAACACTAGACCACCAACTTAAACCATACACAAAAATAAACTCAAAATGGATAAAAGACTTAAATGTAACATGTGAAACCATAAAAATCTTAGAAGAAACCATAGGCAGCAAAATCTCAGACATCTCTCATAGCAATATGTTTACGGATATATCTCCTAGGCCAGGCAAAGGAAACTAAGAGGAAAATAAACAAATGGGACTACATCAAAATAAAAAGCTTCTGTACAGCAAAAGAAACCATCACAAAATGAAAATGGAGCCCACTGTATGGGAGAACATATTTGGCAGTGATACATCTGATAAACGGTTAATATCCAAATATATAAGGGATTCATACATGTTAACAAAAGGAAGACAAACGATCCAATTTAAAAATGAGCAAAGGACCTAAATAGACCCTTCTCCAAAGTGGACATACAGATAGCCAAGAGACATATGAAAAAATGCTCAAAGTCACTAATCATCAGAGGGATGCAAATTAAAATGATAACGTGGTACTATGTCATACCTGTCAGAATGGCATCTGTAAATCAACGAATGACAAGTACTGGCGAGGATGTAGAGAAAAGCAAACCCTAGTACACTGCTGGTGGGAATGCAGACTGGTGCAGCCATTATGGAAAACAGTATGGAGTTTCCTTAAAAAATTAAATGTGGAACTGTTACTTGACCCAGTGACCTCACTTCTAGGAATATATCCTAAGAAACCAGAAACACCAATAAGAAAGAATGTATGCACCCGTTTGTTCATAGCAGTACAATTTACAAAAGCTAAGGTCTGGAAACAGTCCAAGTACCCATCAGTCGATGAGTGAATAAAAAGCTGTGATACATTTGCACCGTGGAATACTATGCAGCAGTGAAAAAGAAGGGTACCTTACCCTTTGATACAGCATTGGAGGGACCTGAAGAGTATTATGCTAACTGAAATAAGCCAGTCAGAAAAAGACAAGTATCACATGATCTAACTCATATGTGCAATCTAATGAAAAAAGTTAACTGATGAACAAAATAGATCCAGAGATGTAGAAGTATGGAACAGATTGCTGAATCTCAAAGGTAAGGTAGGTGAGTGGGAAGAGATCAACTAAGGAACTTGTATGCATATAGGCATAACCCATGGACATAGACAATAGGGTGGTGAAGTCCCAGGGTGGGAGGGGGGGCCATGGCAGGCTATAACGGGTCAACTGGAGAAAAAAGGGGACATATGTAATACTTTCAACAATAAAGTTTTTTAATGAAAAAAAATCCCATGATAATGCCATTTCTCTCTTCAGTCATTCTTTAATCGTTAAAAATGAATAAAATTTTGTGCATAATAGGGAGAATTAGTAGATGCAGCTGATAATGATCATTCACCATCCCCTTCATGCTTACGGAACCTTTAGAAGGGGAGAATCTGTATTATTTAATAAAAAGAGTCACATTATAGACAGCTCTGAAAGTTTTCAAACAGAAACATAAAGATAATTGAATAAAACATAGAAAACACCAACCAATTTTCCATTATACGTATAAACCCCCTTACAAATAGGCATCATTCCTCCATACTCCAATGAATAGATGTACAGCATGAAGAATAAATATTTTCATAGTAATACAGTGTGTGATTTAAAAATTTGGTTCATCGTATTGAAATTCATCTCTGACTTTAAGGTGGTAATAAGTCCACCTATTTATTAAAATTTGTCTTTCACTGAAGAGTCCCTCTTGGAGACACTAAATGAAAAAAACACACAGAATCTTAACAAGGAGAATAAAGCCCAGGGACCCGCTATTAAACACACTTTTATGTTAGAGTCTACATTATCAGGAAGAGCAGTTAAGATAGTAAATACCAAAAATTGTCAGTCATAAAAGTGAAAAACACCTGTCTCAGATTTTCCTCTCTTTTCAAATTGCCTTGGTCATTAAGAGTATTTTTTTCCATAGGAATAGTGCAATTCAGGATGATTATTTTAGTAAAAAATATCTATATTTGTTAAGATATATGTAATTTAAGAAATATCCATATTGTTTCATTAGGTAAATGAAATTTTCCAAATACATCTGATCCATGATGGAAATAACTTTAAGAAAAGAGAAAAACAACAAAGAGAAGAATTGCTGAATATCTAAGAGAGCAGAGAACTTAATTGAGTTACATAAATTGAATAGAGAAGATGAGGTCAAAGAAATAGAAATTACAGGAAATAAAAGGAAAGAGCAAGTTCTGCTTCCATAGTCTGACCATCATCACACTGCCTGACTCTGCAAACATGGGCACATCTGCGGTCTTAGGACAACTGACCAGTTTGTAGTTTCCTTCACAAGGAATGTCTTCAGAGCCTGTTTGATGTCTTTGTTCCTGAGACTGTAGATGAAGGGGTTCAGCATGGGTGTGACCACGGTGTACATCACCGAGGCTATGGCACCTGAGTGTGAGCTGTGGGTTGCAGCAGAGCTGAGGTACACTCCTAGGATCGTACCATAAAATAAGGAGACAATTGAGAGGTGAGACGCACAAGTAGAAAATGCTTTGTACTTCCCCTGAGCTGATGACATTCCATGTATGCAGGACACTATCTTAGAATATGAGTAAAGGATCCCAGCGAAAGGACCACCAACAAGCAGGACAGCTGTAAAATACATCACCATGTTATTAAGAAAGGTGTCAGAACAGGCAAGTTTGATCATCTGATGGAGTTCACAGAAAAAGTGAGGGATTTCCACGTCCATGCAGAAGGACAGTCGTAATGCCATTAAGGAATGTAGGAAGGAATGCAGGACACTCATGATCCAGCATATCAGCACCAGCAGTCCACAGAGCCGAGGGTTCATGATGACCGTGTAGTGCAGGGGGTGACAGATGGCCACAAACCGGTCATAGGCCATCACAGTCAAGAGGAAAACATCCAACCCAGCAAAAAGTATGAAAAAATACATCTGTGTGATGCAGCCTGCATAGGTGATGACTTTGCTCTGTGTCTGGATGTTCACAAGCATCTTCGGGATGATTGTGGAGGTGAAACAGATGTCTAGCAAGGACAGGTTGGAGAGGAAGAAGTACATGGGTGTGTGGAGGTGGGAGTCTGAGCTGACGGCCAGGATGATGAGCAGGTTTCCCAACATAGTGATCAGGTACATGGAGAGAAAAACCCCAAATATTAGGGGTTGAAGTTCTGGTTTCTCTGAAAATCCCAGAAGAATAAATTTTGAAATTTGTGTAAAATTCACTGGTTCCATGTGTTGGAGGTGACTACCAAGAAAGATTAAAATAACATGAATAAATTTCACACAGTGTTGCATTGCTCACATACTTGAAATGCTACAATTCATATTTTGTAGACCAGACATTAATTTTATTATTTTGTGTGTATAGTCCCCTGTTGGGGATATACAGTGACCCCCCTGATATGGAGTGTTTGTCCCAATCACCTGTACATCTGAGGGGATCATGTATTCTACAGGTTTATTGAGAATTTCTTCATGTTTCTCAAGAATGTAAATTGAGTGCTGACCATGTTTAGGCACTGTCCAGGTTGTGAGAATGGGGTGCTGAAGAACAAAAGTCTCTACAATCCAATGAGGGAATGAATGTAGAAGGAACAATAAAATGATAAATTACTTTAGATGGTGGCAGTAGTATGAAGAGAAGGAAAGTACGTCTAAAGGAGAGAATGAGTAGGGAGTTCTGTTTTTCATGGGTTTGTAGGTAGATCTGCAAACAAGGTGACATTTGAACAGAGACTTCAAATAAGTGAAAAGGGGAACATTCTGAGTTGTCCTAAATTAAATACACTGGGGCTAGAGAGTGTGAGAAAAACTATAGTAGTCAACCAGCTAAAAGCTGTGGCCCACTTACAAAAGGCTGCTCACATTCCTGAATGTCTGTTGGAATGTGAATCAACTTTTGTAGTGACCACTAGATGCCCCTGCATCCTTCACTGCATGAGTTTCAAGACTATTGCCTGCAACCAATTAAAAGTAGTAAATATTTCTTCCTCCGTACCTGTCCTAGAACTGCTCACTTTACCTTCTTCTGCTGCCCCACAGCTATCAATAGTCGATGTAAATTCTTTTTAAAAAAAGTACCTCTTTCTTCCCCAAAACATAAAGTGTAAAGAGCCCTCAACTCCAGGTCAGTGGACATGACTTTTCTACCTGGCTCTGCTGCTGGTGGTTTAGACTTCATGCCCAATCACCTGGTCCTTTTCTGGCTGGCATTTGGCTCAATAAACATTTTTTTGTTTATTGAGCCAATAAACAAAGATTTTTTAACTCAAGAGAGGAAGAGATATATAAGTAGATGTGGGAAAGTGTGAGCCCTGCAGAGGGACTGGCCAGTGAAAAGGTCCCGAGGAAGGTGCTTCTTTCACATGTTCAGAAAAAGTGAAGCCAGGTTAGAAAGTGAATGAGCATGAGGAGGAGTGATGAGAAGTGGTGGCTGACACGTTGAGGAGTGAGGTGGCCTCTCTGCCACTGCTGACACCTCTGGCACAGGGACTTCCTCATCCCCTCGGCCTCTTATGCTCTATTATTCTTGTTGCAAAGGTGTCCAGTGAATGGAAAAAGATCCCCTCCTTAGTACCTGCTCTTGATTGAGTTTGAGTCCCATATTGTAAGAACCACCTTGGAGTGTATGAGTGCAGCTACCCCTGGTCTGAGGACAGCTCACATCTACAAATCACACACACACACACACACACACACACACTCCACCTCCACCACCACCACCACCACCACCACCACCACCACCACCACCACCATGTCTGTCTCAGCCCTAGCCATCCTGATGATGCTAGGAATGGATAGAACACAAGTTGACCTGATCAGTGATCTTTCACCTGTCAGATGTAGAAATATTTCTGGATATTCCAATTCTTAAGCCTTCCATGGACAAATGAATTTGAGGTTCCATATTTGATGGATATTTTATGCCCTGTATTTAATAAAACATAAAGAAATCTATTCAATGAATGGATAGGAGAGTATGGGGGAGGGTAATGAATTGATTGAGCAGGAATAGAGATTTAATGAGCTCAGGTGATCCCCAAGATACGGTGAGGAAGAAAATCATCTTGGTTCTGGCAAATAAATGCAGTAAAAGCTTTGTTTTCTGTACATTTTCCATAGTCATTTGACCAATTTGTTTTTATGTGGCCCAATAGTGGGTCAGGTTAGTCCCTTTCTCCCTTTCCTTATGTGGCACCAATTCTATCTTATTTGGGGGCTTTGGGTTTTCATCTCTTTTTTGACACACCCAGGATGCACCACTCTGTTCCTGGTTCAGGTCTTCATTCAGCATGCAAAAACCTCCCCAGACCATGCTTTACAAATCCTGCCCACACCACAACAGTTCTACCTATTTATATGGAATAGTTTTCTTCATATGTTTCTTCCTGAGGACATTATTTTTAACACATTTATTTCATTGTTTTATGTCTTCGTTGTTTTATGGCATGACCCAAAAGAGCAGAAATTACACCTGCTTTGTTCACATAAATTTTTCACAAAGGTAAGTGATTAGATGTGCACTTACATAGAAAGAAATTAAAAAATGTGAAGTGATAAAATGAAAAAGTGATGAAGAGATAATGTAACCAGGTTAAAATGAGTAGTTTTAAAACAACAATAGTAAGCAAAATGAAATGGAGGATTAAATACTAACTGAAACATGATATAAAATGACAATAATTTAATAATATCAGTATGGGCTAACCATCAAATTGTAAAGACTTAGATCTAAAAGAGCATAATGTTCTGAGAAGGTGCTGACTTACAGTTCTTTTCATTAATCTGGAATTAAGTCTTCATGTATATGAACGTTTACCATATGGGAAGGTTACACATCTATTTAGTTGACAAAGATTGAATTGTGATATGAGAGCTGGCATAAATGGCTATCAATCTGAAAGAATATGAAATTGGTCCTCACCCTCAGACATCTGAAAATATCAGAGAATATACACTCAGGGTAAGAATAACCAATACATTTGTTATGAACATCAGAAACTACATATAAAATTTAAAGGTGGGAAAAAACATCTCAAATAAAGCCAAAAACTCACTAGTAAGAAAATAAATCTATTGAAATAAAATTTTAAAAATTATGGTAAAAAATATCCTACAGAAGTCATTTGAGTAACAATGATCTATAGAAACTATTTGAAATGCTATACAAAAGTGGGAAAGTAACACATGGGCATAGATAAACAATAGGTAAATCAAAATGGTGATCTAAGTAATGAAGTTTGCTGAAACTGTGTAATAGTTTGATAAAACAACAAGAAATGGCTTTTGCACTCATTAGATGGGGAAAAACTGGAAGAACAGTGACGTTGATTGAGGTTGGGACTTTCGAACTGGTAGCAAAAGGGGGTCCTCTAATTTTATTGGCAGAAAATAAAGTGTTACAATTTTAGAGAACAATCTGAAGCCAGCAATAAATATCACAAATGACGATGTTATTTAATTCAGATTATCTCAGCCTGAGCACTGCCTCAGATGAGGCAGATCCTTCTCTGTGGTGATGTCTGTCCTGTGAATTGAAGGTTGTTTAGAGCAGCGTGCCAACCGGTGGTCCGCGGACCACTGATGGTCCATGAGGTGTGAAAGGTTGGGCATCACTGGTTTAGAGCACCCTGCTTCTACCCACCCCTCTCCAGTGTGACAGTCACAAATCTCCCTGGACATAGCTCAATGTTTCATAGGGAACAAAATCACCCCTGATCAGAACCACATTTTGAAATTAATAATTTAAACATCTTATAGCATTGATATGACAGCAATTTAATGATGAAGAGTGTGAAAGACCATTAAAAGTGTGGGTAGCCATTACCCTATGAACTCTTATGTAGCCATTGAAATAAATTCGTTGATCAATCAAGCAAACAAACACAGCAATCTCTTGCCTCTGGACTAAGTAGAATGGACTCTCAGGTGACAACAGGTAAATGCTCCTGGTTTCCATTCCCTATGACCCTCTTCTGCAGTGTCATGTGGGTCATTGGACTCACCTGGATTAGATTTCTGAGAGGAAGGTCATTGTGGGGATGTCTGAATTCCTCCCCAAATGGTTGATGATAGAGATTAAAGTTCTGTTCACAGGCAAGACAACAGGAAGGTGTGAAGCATCAGTCTCCAGCCAGAATTAGGCCTCCAAACAAAGAACAATGACAAATAAACATAACCATGCTCCTCCCACCCTAAGTTTATACAAGCTGAGAGACTGGAGTGGAGAAGTTATTTATTTATAAATCTCTGTACCTGCTCCTCAGATATATTCCCTCTTGTTATTTCCACTCTAAGCACACGATTTCCCTGGGAAATAATGTTCTGGACAGAAAGGAACATTTTTCCAGACTCACTGTTTCCAACAGACCAGGTTACAAGTCATGTGAATTCAGTTTTTTTCCCCCTTTACTCCTTCTCCATGAACTCTCCCCTCATCCAGATCTCTAATCTCCTAGCATCTCATCTCTACTCTGAGTGTGTCCTCCAAATCTAAGATTGAGGAATCTGCCTGCATTAGGTCTCTTTGTCTTCAGCACTGACTTGTGTTGGGGACACAGTCCTGATAGGTCTGGAAAATCCCTTTTCTCATTTTCAACAAGGGGAGAGCTGATTCTTTAGACAATAAACCTTGGACACTACACTTGTTGACTTTCTGTCATTTTGCTATAACAATAAGGAATTTTGTACTTTCATCACAAGTTAAGACTGTCATTTGGTCCCTCATTATAAAAATGATTGTTAATTCTAAAAAAAAAATATTTATATCTTTTTATGCACTGTAAACTGAGGCTAACACCCTCTAGGACTGTCTGATTTAATTTTTATTAGCAACTTACCACGAGAAAGCACATTTATGAGCTCCATTCTCTATTGCAGAAATGGGACTTGGAGAAGTTTAGTGATCTGCTCAAAGTTAATATCTGAGTAAGTGATGGGCCTCCATTATAATTATGTCAGATGCTTCTAGGGCAGCGCTATCAACCAGAAATGAGTTCTCCCTGGGGTTGTTAGGCAATGTCTGAATAGAGGACACTAAATACCTGTGATCCACAGGAAAGTACCCACACATGGAATTATTATTCTGTCCCCAATGTTAGCAGTGACACCTGTTCTAGGCCAGCACCTCTCCACTTCATAGTGCATATAAGTCACCAAAGTTCATAGTGCAAATTCAGATTCTGATTTGTCTTAACTGAGTCTAGGGACTGCATTTCTGACAAGCTCCCAGA